CATATATATTTAATAGAATATTGAATTTAGGAGTGAGCACAAAAAAATGGTAAATCTGTTGAAATTTAAAGGTTTGCTGTTTAAGGCACATTTGTTCCTTTGACAAGTCATGAAGGAAGCTTTGCTTTGGCTCATAATCCTCCTCAATAAGAAGGGAAATCCCTATGAAGACCATAAAATTAACCCACATGCATTTATTGTAACCATTTAAACAGCAAATTTGTCTTTATTGATCTAGTTCTATGTATGCACACAAGACATTAGATTATCTTCAGAAGCATGTGGTTAGCCAGTTCCCGATTGCAGACACACAGAATATTAAGAGCATTAGAATTCAGGAGACAAATAATCTGATTCATGTCCTCCTGAGTTTTTTTTTTTTTTTAATCCACATAGTTCGATCCACATTACCAAAGATATATTTTAAGTAAAAGAGCACTGTAGGCAGATGGAAGCTACCCTCTTGCTTCTCCTTGCAGTTCTCTTTAAGGAAGTGGCGGGGCCCACGGAAATGTGTGACCAGAGGCAGCTGGGCCTGTTGCTTCATGATGCCATCCAGATCCCCCGGCAGCTGGGAGAAGTAGCGGCTTTCGGAGGCAGTAATATTGAGCCTAGCGTTCGCAGCTGCTTCCAGCAGGTAAGCACAGAGGATCAGCGGCATATAGCATGTGTTGGAGAAGGGTGTTAGGAGGTTCCGAGACATGGAATAGGGAATTCGTGCTGAAGCCAAATGGTGGAAGACTTTGGGTCCCATCCAGTAAGTTTGTATTTTATTTCTTAAGGCGTATTTGATTCAAGGAATAGTGACCCCTACAAGGAGACTGACTGTTTTTCTTTGGATTGATCTCAAATCTTTAACCTGTGCTATGAGATTGATGTCTTCCTTTCCCCCGGCCTTCTCATTTGCCACTCCTCCCCTGGCTCTCTGCTTTCCAGCCCGCAGTTTTAGTTCCTTGACTCCCGCCTGAGTGTGTTGGACCTGTGCCCCCTGTTTAGAATTCACCTCCTTCCCCTCTGCCCACTAACTCCCTTCTCATCCCTGATCCTTATTCAGTGTTTAAATTTTAGCTTCACTCTCACATCCTCCTGGAATCTTTCTCTTACCCCTTCAGATGATGTATGTGTCTCTACTATCTTCACCTTAATATCTTCTACCTCTTCCTTCTCATGCTCATTGCAATTATAATTACATACCGCACTGTAGAATTCATTGATCAGTATTTGTTTCTTCTATAGGAGCCTAAGCTCCATGAAGACGAAGATTGTGTCTATCTCTTTACTATTATTTCCTGACTTAGTCCATTCAGGTTGCTATAACAGAATGCCATAAACT